TTGCTATTGTCGAGCAAGGTTTGTGAAAAGAATATTGGTGTTTGTATATTGAAGAGCGTTGGCTCAAGTTGTAAAGTGATTTGTGAAAGTATAATTTGTAAATGAACTTTATAGAGCATTGGCTCAAATTGTGAACCAAGTTGTGAGGTAAATGCGAAAATGAGGAGAGGATTATGGTATTGATCCATTGCCGGGACGTTGTGGCTTTTAATGTTGATCCCTTGTCGGGATGTTGTGGTTTTGATATTGTTCCCTTGCCGGGATTTTATTGTGATTCATTTATTCCTTTCCTTTATTGTTTGGGTGAGGAAGAGTGTAAAGCACGAAGGGTGATGTCGTGCATTGTTTTGGTGAGAGAGTGTTAAAGCACGAAGGGTGATGCCGTGTATTATTATCATTATTTTGTGAGGAAGAGTGTAAAGCACAAAGGGTGATGCCGTGCCGCACGATGTACCATTCCGTGCCTGATCACGCCCAACTATGCCTTATAAAAAAAAGACTTTGCGGACATTGCAAATATAACCCGAGTATTACGCCCAGGGTCGAATCCACAGAGAGTTAACCTATCAACAGCTATCTTCAGACCCACTAAGTCTTCAGAACCAGCTTCCCAAATATTCAAATCTCAGTTGAGTGTTCTTTAACAACTAGCTTGCAAATAACTAAATGGCTGTAACTACGTAAAAAATAAAGGTTGTAAACAATTATGAGAAAAAGCTAAGGCAATGATTTCCCCTATTGATGGAATCCCTTCTGTTTATGCTCATACAAATTTACCCACACATCTCTATCAATCATGAACGCTAATCTTACCGTAAATCTCTCCCGAGTAATCACAGTAATTTACTATTGCACTCTCCCGAGATACACTAGCTTACTTTATTTAGCACAATTCAATTTAGATTGCACCAAAGGCTTCGTTATTCCTAATCCCGCCTTTAAACCCGCAATTATAGATTCCTCTAATAATCTAGGAGTGGTGTTGTTCAACAATACCCTAAATATGCACTCTTTTCCAAGTTATGCACACTAAATAGGCACAGCTAATTGAGGATCCTGTCAATTAACTACAACGAACACGAAGTTGAACAAATAAAGATTAAACTAGCAATTTGTATTCACATAAACAAGAAGTTCATCACCCAATAGGTTCCATCAACACCTTAGACAAGGAATTTAGCTACTCATGACTATGGGAAAATACACTAAGCTTGAATTCATCGTAAAATCAAAAGAAAAGAGGAAGGATGTTTAGAGTACTTTCTCCCAATTGTTTTCCTTGCTAAGAAACCTAAAAAATCAATACATGCCTCTCTTGGGCGAAGTCTAATGTTTTAAATAGGATTTAGGTCTAAAAATCCCGTAATTGACACTTTGGTCCCAGAAGTTTCTGCGCCTGCCGCGGTTCTGCCGCGGTCGCAGTAGAACCGCGGCCAAACACCCTCGCGGAATCTCTGAACTTCTGCAGCTGCTTCCCACCGTGGTAGCGGTGGAACCGCGGTGGATCCAGTTCTCTGAATCTTCGGCCTGTTTTTGCACGGGTCACTTAGGAAATTTCACGGTTGGCCTCTTTTTCATCACTTTTGACTCCAAAACTGCTCCTTAGCCGTCTTTATACATATATCACCTACAAATCATGAAAAGCGCTAATAAGAGCATTTTCTCATCACTTTTAGCATTAAAACTACACAAGAAGGTGATTATTTAAGGTGTGATTATAGTCAAATTCACCTATTATCAGTGCCGATTATATTGATTCTTATGGTGAGGATGAGAGTAAAAGCACGAAGGGTGATGCCGTGCAGCTTATATTGATTTTTATGGTGACGATGAGAGTAAAAACACGAAGGGTAATGTCGTGCACTTGTTTGATTTCTGGCTCTTGTTGACAGTTGAGTTGTGGTGTTCCCCATATTTACCTGTTATCCTCCTGTTGTCATTTGATATTTTCCCGCAGCATGTTCCCCCCTCCCATCCTTGACTGTATATTCCTGTTTTTTATTTTTCGCTGTACATTATTTATCTGCACATGTTTATTTGGTAGTTTGGTCCTAGCCTCGTCACTACTTCGCCGATGTTAGGCTAGACACTTACCAGCACATGGGGTCGGTTGTGCTGATACTACACTCTGCACTCTTTTGTGCAGATCCCAGTGTTGCAGATTTCGGACCGTAGTGAGGTTTCAGCTTCTTGTTTATCAGGCGACCCGAGGTAGTCCTGCAGGCATCCGCAGGCCTTGGCGTCTCCCTCTATCTATTTTCCTGTTTCTTTTATGTAGTCCCAGAGACAGTATTTTGTTACTTCTTTCAGACCCTTATTTGTAGTACTCTTAGACAGTCTGTGAAGTTGTGACACCAAATTTTGGATAGTTTTGTTATGGAATGGTATTAGCAATACTATTAAACTTGAAATTTATTCTTCCGCTTGTTAAATTATGTTGTTTATTAATTGTTGGTTCTAAGTTGTTAACGAATTCAAAAAAATGGAAACAGCAAATAATTCAGTTGATTGATTTGCCTAGCTTTCACTAGTAGGCGTCATCATGACTCCCGAGGGTGGAAAATCCGGGTCGTGAACATACATATATACTATATTGGTATTATGTTTTACAGATAATAACAAACACAAACCGGTACAATTATATACTTACATAGTATACTGATATAGCGTACTTATATACTATACCAGTATCACAGATAAAAAATACAGACAAACCAATACAATTCTATACTCGCATAATATACTGATTTAGTATACTTATATACTATATAGGTATCACATAGTTTTTTATTTGAAAAAATGCTGACGAACCTTCTTGGGCATGATTTATTAACTCGATATTGACATTTTTCTCTAACGGCATACTGTGTCATAACAAGAGCCAGCAGATTCTTGTCTTTGTAAATTTGTCCTTTTTCAACTTTTTGATGAAATTGATCAGTTATGATGTTTGCATCATCGAGTTCTATACTGGTGTCATCTGCTTCTTGCAAATCAAACGTACTAATCATATTAGTGCTTTCAAATTGTACAATTTCTAATGAAGTTGTAGCAACATCGAAACTGGAGGTGCTTGCAACTATAGTATTTTTAGCAAACGACACACACAGCGGAAGTGTTGTCATCCCTGCACTTGATTTTTTCAATTCCATGTAAACACTAACACTCATATTGCTGCAAATTGTAATTGGTGGATATTCTTGAGCAATAACATACTGAATAACTATTGTGTTACTGTCCTTTTGCAGTTGCTTTGCAATTTCTCTGAGAAGTTGTTCAAATTTCCGACAGGTCTTTATTAGAATTGCATCAACATGAAAGTTTATGAAATTATGGTTATCATCCCATTCTCCACTATGCTGCAGCAGAATTGGTATATTTTCCATGACTCTGAAGTTATAACTACTTTTATGTCCAAAATTGAATCTCAACAATGCAAATATCAACAGTGTTGATGTCAAATATTGAATTTCAACAAAAAAATTCAAAATCAAATCAGCTGTTATGGTTCAAACCTCTAGATCTTCAGATCTCCAAACTGAGAATAGAGTTTTCAGCTAAAAGTTCAGAAGTTTGAGCGCTAAACTTCTGTAATACTTATAATTTTTGACATTCTGCTCTGCCAGAGAAATCAAAATCGAAAAAATAAGATACGAGTTTGAGCATAAAATATTTTAGCATCTTCCAAAGTCAAATCAGCTACTTCTACAAAATTTAAGGAGAAAAACTCGAATTGTAAAGAGAAATCAGCATCTTTGCTCTATTTTTTCACACTTCCGATCTTCAAATTAGGGTGGCGATCTTCAAATCTTCAACGGATGCCGGTAGAAATCTCAATTTTGTGCGCTTAATTTCTGAAATTTTGAGCAGCTTTTGCGTTTTTATAGGTAGGGCATTAGCGTGGGGTAGTTATTTTAAGATACCCAAATGGGTAGAGGATTGTAATTATTTAATGAGTAGAATTCTTTTATGGGTAAAGCAGGGTAAATAAGTTCACTTTTATAGGTACTCCTGTCTTTTCCCCTTGTTTCTTTGACAAAGATACTTTTAGCCTACAACCGAAATTATTTACATTCTATAGCCGCAAAAACGTATAAAATTTGTGTACTTTTTATTATATATAAAATACAAAAATGCACATATATATATATATATATACACAAAAGATACAAAAAGTATATAATTTTTCGACTATTATTCGAAAGTGATTATACAGTATCATTTTCTTTTTTCCTTCACCACTAATGAGGCCAAAATTAGCCAAAAAGAGTCGAGAAACCCAAAAGGAAAAAGAAAAGAAAAAGGACATCAAACCCAGGAATATCCTCTTTTATTGTAACATTTCAAATTGTCACTTTTGACTAAGTTTGCTTCTGTTTCCATTTAATACAAATACAGTAATTATGGTCAAATTCACCCGAATCATCAATCGAAGACTCAGATTGTGTATCACACCGCTGCATCACTCCTGGTAATTATTTTGTGGATCAACAGTGTGGAATTTGGGCTTATGTTGGAAAGGTTGGTAGGTAACTAGATCCACCACATCAAGTCAAGTAGTGGGGTAAAAATGACGTGGGATAGCCACTTTTTAAAATGGTATTTAATTTTTATCCAGTATTTTTAATACTAAGCAAAAATAGCCACTACTTTATTAAAATTAAAACCAAAAGACATTTTTACCCTTTCTTCACGAGTGTTGTATAAATATTAAGGTCTAAGGACATGGTTTCCTTAACATTTACACTGCACATATGAAGTTAAGGACATGACAGGACACTATGTCCTTAACATTTACACTGCACACATCAAGTTAAAGACGCCATGTCCTTAACATTTGCATTGCACATATGAAGTTAAGGACATGAAATCCTAAAGTTCAACAACAGAACGTGCAAGTACAAGTTAAGGACATTATGTCCTTAACATTTACACTGCACACATGAAGTTAAGGACGCCATGTCCTTAACATTTACACTGCACATATGAAGTTAAGGACATGACAAAACACTTTTGTCTTTAATATTACACAGCATTCATGAAGTTAAGGACACCATGTCCTTAATATTTACACAGCACCCATGTCTAGCGCACGGGTTTCTTCGTCCGGGCGGATAAAATTTATTAAACACTGGCTAAAGAGTAAGTACATTTTAAACAATGGCTAAAGAGTAAAGACATCTCTAATTAGTGGCTAACTGTGCACTTCCCCCAAAGCGAACCCAACTTGATTTGTGACTTACTCGCGTGCTCGGGGTTCATCTGATCCGGCCTAGTTGCATCTCTCCCCTCCCAAACCACAGCTTCATGCTCTATACAAGTCCAAGCAAATACAAGAGATGCAAAGGTCAATTCATAGCTTTTGTAATCCGATAGTTACTAATGGCAGGGCAGCCCGGTGCACTAAGCTCCCGCAATCTACATCACACCCCTTAGGACCCGCACCATGCGTGAATGCGAGATGTTTTGTGCAGCGGGCTGCTCCTTTTTTTTTTTTTTTCCAGTTTCACAAATAAGTACCAAAAAACTGTATGCAGCCAAATGGGTATTTTACAGTAAAAATTTAAGGCCAAATGAAACCAAGAAGCGAAGTCCAAGACATTTTCAAACATGCAAAATATTCAGCCCCAGTGCAGCAAGTTGAATAACCCCATACAACACCAAGGTGGCAACTGGAAAACCATCAATTTGTTGGATGTCTATCGTCAAGAATAAATCAAGGACGAAAGCTTAAGTACTTGTGCAGCAATTATAAGGTTCCATACCCTCGACTAGAGCTTCTTCACAATCTCTTCATTTGCACGCTTGTAATAAGTCATCCTTTGTGTAGCAGCTACAGCTTCTTCATACTTCCTATGTTGTAACGCGTTTGCAAAAGAGATAGATGATTGTTCGAACCTTCCCTGTATCTGCAGAACAATGAAGTACAGTTAACAGAGATTAGAATAAGTAAAGACAAGCTCATCGCAGACTTACATAAACAAATGTGGTAAAGTTATTAGCAATAGGCATTTTTAAGAGATAACAATTGCAAACCTACAACAAACACCAAAATTCCAAAATAAAAATTGTCCAATTAACTTTTTTTATTATGTTTGCACAAGTGAAACGCCTAAAAGCCTTTACTTTGCAGTAGTTAACTTCACATAATAAAAGTTTGAGATGGCTATATGAGAAATTCTCTGGTGACCGACCAGAGGAAAGGAGTAATTTGCACAAACTACTGGGTTCCTTTTGTACCTCCCCCTGAATTTCTTTTAGTGCCTGAGAGTTAGCAGCATCTTCAACAGTTTCTCTAAGTTCCATAATCTGCAGTTAAAATTTGATGATTAACAGTCAGAGAAGAAGATTTCTGGCAATCCATGGGAAGAGAAGCACAGTTAGCACCTCTATGAAGATCAAACAAAATACTATACCATTCTGCCAAGATAAATATCAGATACAAATGCTAAAGTTGTTCCAGGAAATAACAAAAAATTTAGTGCCAACTCTACTCTGCAAGCTTACAGATTCCTTCTGTAAGTTGTGTGTTCTTGGTAAGATTCTTGCTAGAGTTCTCCCTTGCAATTTTTTTGTTCCTTCTGATGATTGAGAAATCTACCTTTTCAAGTATCAAAACTCGGTGGAGCTGGGCTTCTCCTCTACCCTTCTCCACTTCAATACCAAACTTTGTTCACCAACCAAGATTCAGAACAACTCTACTCAAATTTCAGTGATTAGATATTTATTGTGTTCAAAGGTAAAACGAGAAACAAGCACAGGCCTTAACAAAGAAAAACATAAATTATATTAGTCAAGCGCTAGCGCCCTACAACAAACAGTTTGTTCATCAATAATGGGGATCACATTGGTGGGAATATAGGCGGATTCCATCAATCATCCAACACAACCAACTATTCATAAAAGAGAAATGAATTACAGAAATCAGCCGACATGCTCAAAATTACCTTTTGAACTTCTTCCATATTAAGAGGGTACATAGGTAATTGAAAAATAATAGCTACACATGCAGAAAATAGTTACATGGGCAAAGAAAATTGAAAAGAAAGTGAAATACTATTGTTTAGTGATGTCCTCTTCAAATTAAAGTTTGTGGATGATTATGATGGGTATGCCTCAATGCTGTGGACACCAAGGAATTGCTTAAGCAGGGTGAAGACCTCGGCCTGTTTTAGCACGTAGCTCCAGGACTTGAGCGCGCTTCAAGGGAGCCTTAATGACACTGGACATTTAAAGTTTTGTAATGCGCCATCTTGCTACTTTAGAAACCAACAATAAATCAGTTAACTACAGAATTTATGAAAAAAAAGTCAAACAAGATGGCCAAGCCTACTCTATGTCACCACTGATTCAACATCTTCAAAACCGTAGGCAATGAATCGGCATAACCCACTAAATGGCTAATGGAAAGGTACTACTCTTCCACTAAATGGCTAATGGCATAGAGCCATTTACTCATTTTTCCCTACTGCCTCCTGTACTCTAATTTATGCTGTTACTGAGCATCCCACATGGAAGAAAAGGAAGTATGGGGTTGCCCACATCCTCAAAAGTAATATTCTAGGTCAAAAAGCAGATTTTTCCCATTCTATTGTTCACTACCTGGAGTTGGATAATTCCTTCGGTTCTTTAGGAGCTTAAATAATATGCACGTACATCAAGGAGCAACAACACTTTTAAAGAATCATATATGGCCACAGTGGCTTCTAGAAGACGTTGTTTTTATCCTTTTGCATATTCCAATATATCAAGAGCAGAGAATGAAAGTGGAAGATGTCAAAGCAAAGCGGGAACTTCACAAATGTTCAAGATGATGAGAAGTCGCCAACCAAAAGAAGAAGCAGAGAAGTTGCGCAGACTGGGATGAGGGAGCCACAAATTAAGAAGAAAGACGAAGTCTAGATAGAAGATTAGCTTAGACCAGGAGAACGTTAGTCACAGATAAGGAGAGCTGAAAGAAGAAGATAAGAAAAAGCTATAATTTCAAAAGGTCTAATTTTTCTATTTCCTTCTTTTCCGCCCACTGTATTATGTTCGGATGGGGTTCAGCAGAACAGAGTGATCGCTTCTTTAGGCTCACTTAACGCCTCACCCAAAAGAAGTGAAAACGCCCACCATGCTGTGCTTCCATATTTTAGGTGATGAAGTGCTCTACTCTCAACACAGTAGTGGTAATTCAACAAGAGAAGAAAATACAAGGTTCAAAGCAACAGATCACGAAGCAATTGTGAAAGCTATTTCAGAGCAGAATACAACTAAGCATCACAGCAGCATTGTTCATTTGTAACATTTGTTGAAGAAATTCTAAGAATGAAGAAATTCTAAGAAAAAACTTCCTTCCTTTTGCACTAAAATGCTTTTTCCCCATATTACACCCCTCATGTGAAAAGAGAAGCAAATAGGGGAAATCTACAATTGGAGTACCTCATAGCAAAAATAATTTGACTAATTCAGGGAATAAGAGAAGTAAATTACAACCTCCATCATAACTCATCATATTGCATACAAAACAACAAATGACAATTCGCTAGAGGAAATCTAGATATAAAACATGTCAAATTACTCCAGTCAGCTCCATAAGTTGTTCCTCACTTTCCACCATTTACGTCTTTTATTGATCTGCTGCCTGTATTCTTTTTGCCAGTCGCTTTCATAAGATAAAAGAGGATAAGGGACCCACAAGACCCATTACTTTTTATATTTTCAACTCTAACTGTAGTATCTGTCAACACCGAACACAACAAACAACAAATAACCATGTAACTTCATCAAAAGCTGGAAAACGAGTTATCCAAGTCACAGAGAAATTCTACTTTCCCTCACAGAAAATAATGAACTACTCCATCCAGAGAGTTGGAATTTTCAAAGATTTTACAGCAAATTCCTCCAACTGAATTCACATTACCTATCCAAAAAAATTCCTCTAACAGACAAAATGTTGGAAGTAGCTAAAGGTGGAGAAGGAAATAGTGACTCCTTAGTTGGAAAAACTAAAAAGAGAACACTCAAAGTAATCAACCCATACCAAGCCAGCATAACCAAAGCTTTATCGTTACGAGGAAAGGAACAAAAAAGCACAAGTCAATTTTGAAGATATGGTCAAAATAATATTCATGTTACATGTATTGAATGCCAATTTCTATCTTAGATTAAAAAAAAAAGGCAATATGTCCTTAAAACAATTGACAGCAGCACTTCTCAAAAAGTCCAGAATAACAAATTTTACCTCAGCAAGCAACTCTAGGTCATCAATCCTTTCCTCTTCATCCACATGCACACCTTCCAACTTCAGCTGGAAGCCAGAACAAACAGTAAGAACAAAAACTACTGAGGCTTACTAGACCAAAATCCCAGAACTCCTACTATTATTGTTGCATCCAGCTATCTTGTCCTTATGTTGCCATTACATTAGTGAATTTTTCTTCATTTCAAACACTTCAATGCAGATATTTCAGACCCTTTTTTTTTATAAAGGTAACAATGATATCTCAGGCTTTATTCTGAAAGAGAAGGGAAGAAAAAAAGAATGAAACCAGATGCAATTGGCCAAAGTAACCATCTTTTCATTTCTTGCAATTTTCCCAAGGAAACAAAACACAAAAGTCAGGAAATGAAATATACTTTTAAACATTAGCCATTACACTATATTCTTGTCCTTATAGTTTGTTAAACATGTTTCAGCCTAGAAACATAAAAATAAGTAGGAGGCAGTATAAACACAATCTTCTGTCAAAAGTCTCTTACACACACACACACACATGCACATATATATCACAACTAAAGAAAAATATGTTTTGAACAAGTGAAGACCACCAATGAAAAATCAAACAACAATAGCAATAAGTATGTATCAGATAATGGTAACCTACAATGTATATTGCCCTTGACAATGGATCAGTTAGTGTGCGATATGCATCAATTACACGAGCAGACTGTTCAGCAGCATACTCCCTTTCTTTCTAGCAGAAATAGCAAAAAGCCACAGGAAATAATATCAATTTTTTGGCAAAAAGGGATACCCAAAGAAAAAATATTATAGGGGGAGCCTGGAAAACAGAATTTTCACATATATATGTCCACAATGTACAATTTTATGAACCTCGGATTTCGTATGAACCAAGTCTGGATGTAGCTTCCTCTGCCAGTCTTTGTACTTGCGCTCTAGATTCTCCCCCTCAATTCCATACTTTTTCTCCCTGTAAGAATGCATAGAATCTTTAGCATCTTAATATCACCAGCCATGGAAATAAAAGAAAACATCTTCAATACCTGTAGAAAAAGTTGAAAAAGAAATTAATAAGAAACAGGTCCCGCACAACCTTGAATATTCAGAACTATAGCAGCTCCTCTCCGTTTTGATATTAGAAGTACAACTACATCCATATGTATATAACTATAAGCGAGTAACTTACAATCCAAAAATGTGGAAATAATCAACAGATTGATCGACAGGCTGGACGCAGCCACAAGCATTGCAAACAAGAAACGGTGTCGTAGTTGAGGAAACAACATTGCAATTCCAGCAAGTAAGCTTCTGAGCAGCTTCGGAACAGAAATGCAATCTTCCAGAAAAGTCCAGATTGTTTCGAACAAAATAACGTTGAGGCAATTGATCTACTTGTGGAGAAATTGAAGAAGAAACAGGAAAATCCAATTGGGACGGCGAAACAGAAAACGTCATTATTTCCCTTCTCAAAAGCGCTACTGGGAAGGATGTTAAAATCCGGAGCTTCTTCGTCAACATTTTCTGGGGTTGGTCTTGACGAAGCGTGGCAGCAGGCGGTGATGAACTTAGAGAAGCATAGAAGGCTGGAGAAAGACGGTGGTTATATATATGGGAAGAAAAATTTAGTAAATTCAGCACAACTTTTTAATGGTACTTTAGATTGAAGACACGTGTCAATTATAATTTTAGTGAACTTATAAGGGAAGAATTGTTCAAGATTATAAAAATAAATAAATAAACTTAAATATTTATTACAATAATCTGGGATCTAACAATACATGCTACATGTCTGAACAGTTAAGAAATTCCCTAATCACATTTTCTTTTAACAAAGCTAAAAGATAAAATATCTTTTCCTTAATCTTATGTGTGGTACAATAGCAATGCCAAATTCTCTAATATTAAGAGGTTAGTTTCAAAACTAGAATAATAGAACAATTATGCTAAATGAAGAAAATTAAAAAAAAAATATGAACAACTATATAGAATCATAAAAAATAGAGGTTAAAAAATGAGAATATTATTTAAATATTAAAAAGTAATCTATTATTTTAACATAGTTAAATTTGTATATAACCCCATCCAATAACAAAGTTCAATTTTAGTGACATCACTCATTATAAGTCAAGTTTATGGATTACTTATTCTTTCTAAGATTAGGAGGTGTAATTTTTAAGAAAAACTAGAATAACAACGTAGCTAAATATAATTTAAAAAAATAAGGAAATTAATTAACAAAAAAATAAAATATGAGCAATTTTGTAGAAACTCATGAAGTAAAGTTGGGAAATGAGAAATAAGGAAATAAAAGATAAATAATGTGAAAAGAATATTATCGAAAAAAATGAAAAAGTTAAAATGAAAAATTAAATAAAAAGAATAGAATAAAAAGTAAATTAAAAAGAAAAGAAAAGAGATTCAAAAAATAACCTTGTAATTACATCATGTAATAACCAGCAATTCCCAGCCCCTGAGAGTGGGAGAGTGTAATTTCACCCCCTCAATTACATGATGACCAAGTAAGATAAATATGACAAAACTGTATAAAAACAACAACAACCCCCCAGTGAGTTCTCACAAGTGGGGTCTGGGGAGGGTAGAATGTACGCAGACCTTATCCCTACCCTAGAGAGTAGGGAGGTTGTTTCCGAAAGACCCTCGGCTTAAGAAGATAAAAAGAGACAATATATTAGTACCATCAATAGAACCATAGAAATAATAGTAACATCATAAGAACCAGAAAATAGATGAAAAATAATAACAAAAACCAGTGAATAAGGCCCGATACTACAAAAACGGAAGAATTGTGTGGACACAACAATAAGCGCTAGCAGACTAGGACAAAACCTTATCAGACCAGCCTCCACCCGGAACGAAGTAGAAAAAAATTCAACAACCTCCTAACCTACCACCTTAATACTCGACCTCCACACCTTCCTATCAAGGGTCACGCCCTCGGAAATCTTAAGCCACGCCATGTCCTGCGTTATCACATCTCCCCAATACTTGTTAGGCCGCCCTCTGACCGGGGCATTTGGGCTTCTCCTTCGCACGTGTCCGAACCATCTAAACCTCACTTCTCGCATCTTGTCATTCACGGGGTTATTTTAACTATATAATTACACCCAAATCCAATTACAGGTTGCTTTCCAAACAAGTCCTAAAGAAAATCTTGATAAGAGGACAAAACGCCAAGAAGCAATTACAGACCAACTATAAAGAGAAACTAAAAAGTACTGTACTTTGTATATTGTTGAGTAATAGGTATCATGATTAATGAAATTCTTATTAAAAAAATGAAAGTTTCTTTTTTCTTGAATAATGTTGTTTCGGTTCTTATCTCCTCGAGTTGATTAAGCAACTTCTGTAATGAAGTTTAAAGAGACGATTAATCATTAAGCTACTTGAAACAGACATAAAGTTTCAAATCTTAGTCTTGAGATCTGTAAAGTAGCCTAAGATGCTCAATGGATAATCAACTTTATTCCAACTTCTCTACATTATTTAGAATATTGCTCAATGGTTAAGTGACTTTACGAAAGTCACTTATCATACAGTACAAAATTTAAGAATCTAGAATCAAGTGTAGCTAGAATGGCTTGTTGAAAGTGACAGTTCATATTATTCTGAAAATTTTCGGAGCAGCAATATAAAAAAAGAATTTTTGACCAGAAGAACATTACTACTGTATGTATTCAAGAAAACGTGCAATAGAAAATTGAGTACCATCTCACGTCCACGCAATTAGTAATGTTTACCTCGAAAATACGAGTAACAATTAAATTTGATTTGTGGTTTTAAAGATATGTGATTTAGTTCAATACCAATTAATAATCAAGAAGTATAAAGTATAAATGAAAGAAATAAGTGAATCAAACCAGTGTTACTTAAGCAATATCGACCTCGAGCTCAGTGACCTCGAGATGAATCAAGAACAATAAAGTTAAAGGACAATTCTGATGAACAATGAGCGAAAAGGAGAGAGTATATTTCTTTGCCGATGATTAGATTATTTACAAATGAATGGGCTCCCTTTTATATAATAGGGGAGTCCTAAATAAGGTACATTTCCGTTTTTAGTAAGGAATCTAATTGGACAGTTGTCTAACCGCCTAGTACGAATTCGTACAAATCCGTTTCGGAATTTACGCCTTGATCTTTGGGTCATTGCGGGAATCTCGCCTTTTCTGTTACAAAATCACAACGGCATTATCTCGAGGCTGGAAACGCTCGGCCTTGATATTCATCGGACACTTTGATCTTCGAACTCTGCCATCGGGCTCGGTCCCAGTCTGTTTCGGACTCGCTCTTGAAGTGATCCTCGAGCCTACAAAATCGGGTAGCCCCGATTTCTACCGTATACAGATAGTCCCCTTATTTTTTGGAGTATAACGACAAGAAACGAATTGAGTCCTTGATCTTTACCCCGATTTGCCACGACATCATCATGGTAACGTAAGCGACTGCGGATACAAAAGCTTGGAAGCCGGCCTTTCCCGAGGAAGATTCTGAGAACTCTAGTGAGTCCGGCGGCGGAGAAGATTCTGAGGGTGAAGATACTTCTGCCGATAAGGATCGTGCTGCTTAGGCTTTGTGTTCTTCGTAATGTTTTGCTTTGGAGGCTGATCGGTCCTTGCGAGGAACTCCTGATCGTGGCCTATAGTCCTTGTAAAGGGGTTTATACAAAGCTTTTTTTTTCTTCCATGGCTTCTGAATCTGTTACCCTTTTGTGCGGGTCAAAGCACTTTAGCATAAAATTCCTGTTGAATGTCCAAAGTTTGAGATGGTAATAACCGACAATAAGTACTGCCTTCGAACGTTTTTCGATCAAGGGACCCTGGATGACCATTTGAACTTGAGTTTTAGTAGCTCTTAGGCTCAACAGTCGATGAGGTAAGGTAGCCTTTGGGTTTTATAGTCGAGTGAAGATTTGTTCGAACTCGAAGTAAAGTCAGCCACTAGGCTTTACAGATAGTTCCCAAGTGAGGGTTTGCTCGAACTCGAGTTAAGGTAGCCCTCAGGCTTTTACGATCGAGTGAGGATTTGCTCGAACTCGAAATAAAGTTAGCCCTTGCGCTTTATAGATAGTCCCCGAGTGAGAGCTTGCTCGAACTCAGGTTAAGGTAACCCTTGGGCTTTTTTATATGAGCCCTTAGGCTCTTTGGATCGGCCCTTAGGCTCTTTTGTATTGGCCCTTAGGCTCTTTGAGTTGGGCCAATTCGGCCTCTAATAACAGCTATAATTTTTCCCTCTTTTCGGCTAAAAGACTTAGTAAAAATTTTCTATGCCTTAGCATTTTTGTACCCGTTGGGTTTTTCGAAGGTTCGACCGATTGGAACCTTATTTATAATTCGTTTGTGTAACGATAATCGAATACCTCTTGAGGCTTTTTTGAAGGCTGATGTTATCGAAGCCTTTAAATTATTTGAGGGCTGATTTTATCGAAGCCCTTTGTCATTTGCTTTTGCCGAGGGTAGCCTAATTTAACCGGTTTTTTCAAAGTGTTTGAAGGCCTTTAATTTTATGGCGGAAGTCGGACGTCTCTGAGCCGCGTTATTTTGGTCGTAGCCTTTTTATATGACCGTAGTCTTTAATATGGCCGTAGCCTTCGGGTATGTCTCTTGGACTTGTTTCCCGATAACCCTTCGAACTTGTTCGAAATGTTAATCCCCGAGTATGATGACCTTGGTCTATTATATCGGGGGTGCCTCTTTGAGGTCTTGTTATTTCGAACTGAGATAGCTCGAGTAAGTAGTCCTCGAGTTTTCGAGATATGCTTGCACTCGGGTTAAGATAGCCCTTGGGCTTTTATGATCGAGTGAGGATTTGCTCGAACTCGAAGTAAAGTTAGCCCTTAGGCTTCATAGATAGTCCCTGAGTGAGAGTTTGCTCGAACTCGGGCTAAGGTAGCCCTTGGGCTTTTGTATTGGTTACGGATTTCGGATGTCTCTGATCCGTGTTAATTTGGCCGTAGCCTCTTTAGTTCGGAACTTGCCCTTAGGGCTGATCTTCCGTTTCACTTCGAGCTTGCCCGAAGTGTCAGTCCCCGAGTGGGATGGCCGTGGCCCGCTAAATCGAGGATTGCCTTTAAGGTCTTATGGTCTTGAAATGCTAGCAGTTTGATTCTGTTTGCTTTTGGGACAACAGTCCTCAAGCATGGGTCAATTTTTCGAATTTCTGTCGCGGTCGGCCCTTAAGCCTGTTTACACAAGAGATCAAGAGTATAAAATATGAAAATTTTATAAAGGCAGGGGATATGGACAAGGAAAATCACTTCTCTTGATAGATGATTATACATGCGCGCATGCTTGATGTCTAGGGCTCGAGTAACCTATATGGGCACGGTTCATATGACCGTTTGGCCCTTACAACACTTTCCTATCGAGGCCCGCTGTCACGAAGTGATTTCCTTGCCAAAGAGCAGACATTCAAAGGTAATGCCCTCCAGTACTCGAGGCTTACTGTAGGAACCTCGGACACCGTTGAATTACTTTTAGTTAGCACGAACAATGGTTGCCTCATTAAAAACCTCGCTGAAAAAAACCTATTGGGACAAAAACCGGTCTAAGGGAAAAAGAGTGCAGCACGTGCTTCAAGATCCAGAGCTTCATGCTGATCCTTATCGATAGCCTGCAAGTGTTAGTCGAAAAAATAGAAAAGATTGGACTGGGGTCGTACCTTTATTCGGACTTTGGATACTTAACGTGATCTTCCTCGGCATCACGCCCCCGTGAATTTTGACCTTGATCATTTCTCCTCTCATTTCATGTGAAGCTTTGCCCGGAATCGCTGCCTCTATAGTCTCCGTTGTATGGTTGATATCGATCTCTATTTGACCTCGGCTCTCGATCGATATCCCTTTTGATTTTATCCATGATCCTGCTAGGATAAACGGACCCCGAAGGAGTCCCAGTTGATCATCTTTGACCTTAATCTTCGATTGATACCGATTATGTACGTCGGCCCTAGTGACAGCCGGGTACTCGATTAAACTTTGCTTCAACTGCTGTGAAGCTATGGAACTCCGAGTATTGAGACCTTGAGTGAAATCTTGAACAGCCGGTCATCGGTGACCGGAGGCAAATCCATTCTCTCCGCTTGGAATCGAGATACGAATTCCCAGAGTATCTCGTTATTTTTCTGCCTTATCTTGAAAATGTCCGACTTTCTTGTTGCAATTTTGATTGCTCCGGCGTGTGCCTTTACAAAAGAATCTGCAAGAATAGCAAACGAATCGATTGAATTTAGGGGGTAAGTTATGATACCATATTAAGGCACCCTTCGATAGAGTCTACCCGAACTTCTTCAGCAGTACAGACTCGATTATGTCGTCTTCCAAGTTGTTTCCCTTTATGGCGCATGTGTAAGAAGTAACGTGTTCATTTGAGTCAAAGGTTCCATTGTATTTAGGTATATCGGGAACACAGAACTTCTTTGGGATGGGCTTCAGAGCCGCACTCGGAGGGAACGGTCTTTGTACAAATTTCTTGGCATCCAATCCCTTCAAGATCGGGGGAGCTCCCGGTATTTGATCGACACAGGAGTTATAAGTCTCCACTTTTTTGTCATTATCCTTAATCCTTTTTTCCCCGGACTCGATCCTTTTGGTGAGCTCTTCGAGCATCCTCATAATTGTGGGGTCAGTCCCCGAGCCATTTTCATTCGACCTCTCTGGCGCCGGTTCAGTACGTCGAGTGTTTTCTGGTTCGGCTATATTCGGAGTTTTATTCTGTCTTTGAAGTTGAGCGATGGCAATCTGTTGAGCTTGCAGCATCTCGAATATCACTTGGAGGCTGACTCCCCCATCTCCTATACCTTGTGTTACTTGGCCCCCAGATCGGGCTTCCCTGCGTACACTTCCTCCGGGGTCCGCGCCTAAGTCTGCATTCAAAGCAATGTGTGAACTGACATCAACTGGTTCCACATTTGGCACTTCCCCAGGGTTTATCGGTGGTACACCGACCCCTGCATTGTTGTTTTCCCCATGAAATCCAATGCCTTTGTTGTCGTGAAGAGGTGCGTTTTGCCAGTTTGACATGTTTAATCCTGAGAAAAAAAATTCTTGACAAGAACAAGTGTGAAAATAACGTGTGTTAATCAGTACTGGAATAATCACTATTATCTTTAGCCCCACGGTGGGCGCCAAACAGTTTACCTCGAAAATACGAGTAACAATTAAATTTCATTTGTGATTTTAAAGATGTGCGATTTAGTTCAATACTAATTAATAATCAAGAAGTATAAAGTATAGATGAAAGAAATAAGTGAATCAAACCAGTGTTACTTAAGCAATATCGACCTCGAGCTGAGTGACCTCGAGATGAATCAAGAACAATAAAGCAAGAACAATAAAGTTAAAGGACAATTCTGATGAACAATAAGCGAAAAGGAGAGAGTATATTTCTTTGCCAATGATTATATTATTTACAAATGAATGGGCTCCCCTTTATATAATATGGGAGTCCTAAATAAGGTACATTTCCGTTTTTAGTTAGGAATCTAATTGGACAGCTGTCCAACCGCCTAATACGAATTCGTACAAATCCGTTCCGGAATTTACACCTTGATCTTTGGGTCATTGCGGGAATCTCGCCTTTTCTGTTACAAAATCACAACGGCATTATCTCGAGGCCGGAAACGCTCGTCCTTGATTCATCGGACACTTCGATCTTCGAACTCTGCTATCGGGCTCGGTCCCAGTCTATTTCGGACTCGCTCTTGAAGTAATCCTCGAGCCTACAAAATCGGGTAGCCCCGATTTCTACCACATACAAGTAGTTTAAGAGACCAAGTAAATCATGATGAACCAGTATTCTAATATTCTTCTAACGAGAAAAAAGAAAGTTTTATACTTCTTTCCTCTCGAGAATAACAAGCAAAAAAATAAAAAAAAACACTCCGCCTTATATCCTTTTCTTATATTAGATCTTATAAATCTGGTACCGTGGATATAAAGTTACAGTATAATACATATGACCATGTTAGTTACATTGTATTGTACAGAACACTCTGGTATTGACCTTAATTTCATTAAGAATTTTACAGCCGTAATAACAGGTAACACTATGGTTTTTCCTTCCTATAAACAAAATTGCTCATTCTCAACCCATGACCTGTCCTGGGAGAAAATACAAGCAGCAGTAAAATGGTAGCTTTCTTTTCCTTTTAACATTCTCTTTTCCGTGGACGCTATCTGCATGGACAGCCGTGACGTTATCTTCCTTTGTTTGGTCTACTGAGGTACGTACAGCAGTATGGTGTGTGTCGCCCGAGGTTTCAACATAATCATCTGGTGATGCAGGAGCAATCTTCTTGTTGTGGGTAGCTTCCCTCGTGCACAAACTAGAACTTGTACGCCTGGAAAGTTTATACACCAATTTTTTAGATATTAATAGATTAGAAGAAGCTCATCAAGCATATGATCAATCTCATAGTAATCAAATCATGCCATTTCAACAAAAAATTAGCGTTGCAGAACCTTCTCTTCATGTATAATTCGAGATGTTCGGACAAAGTTGCAGAAATCTAAGGTTTTTACTAAGCTAAGTGACGATCTCTTTTCCGTTTCTATGTGCTCATTTGGCAAATACATATTTAACTTCTTGGAAAACCAATTTGACACGTTTGGTGTAGAATAATAAGCTTAGCATCACCCATTATTTCAATGTAGCCTCTTGCTATTAAGCAAACAAAATTTACCTGGAACTGTGACTAGAAGAGCTGTTCCTGTGTTCGTAAGGGGTCGCCTCTGACAATTCTTTTTTTGGTGAATCAGCACAAGCGCTGCCACTTCCATGAATTCGATCAGTTTCTGATGATTTTGAATTTTCCTGACCATCCTCCTCTACACCTACATACTTAACAGTAGTGTTGCTGGGAACAGATCTAATCTCCAAATTATATCCAAAGTCCCTTATGATAGAGATAGCCTTCTCTAAAGTTCCCAGAGCTTGTCGGACCTCAGAGCTAATCAAAACCTTCTTGTTGTTGGCAGGCACGTGCACGACTTGATTAGCTGGATAATTGTGCGCTTTCTTGTCATTCTCATTTAAACTTTCAATCATTTCACTCGTGTCTTCATTAATTTCCTCAATTTCGCTGTGACCTTTGTTATCTCCAGCCACAAAGTTGTCCTGCTGTGACGAACAAATTAAACCATTATCCGATTGCACCATCTGTTCTGGTCTTTTGACTTCAACATTTGTCCGTGTTCCTTGATCCACGTGAACATAGGCGTCTCCTATTGGGTCTTGGAGTTCTAAAGCACCATTGTCATCTCTTGTCCGTTCATTAAGTTGAAGAGATGCATCTTTCTTGAACTCTTTTTGCAGTCCCAAAGTCTCACTTGACCCTTCATCAAGATTAACACACGTGTCTTCCTTCAACTCTTCCAATTCTAAAGCCCCATTGCCATTTCTTTTCTCTTCATCAAGCCGACAGACATCTTTCTTTAGGTCTAGCAGTTCCAAAGCCGCATTGCCATTACTTATATTATCTGAATAAAGAGCTTTCCGTACTCTAGCATATAGTGGATCTTTTAGAGCGTTGCTGAAATCTTCGTCACCTTTGACTACTGAAGCTACTTCCTGCAAGAAAAATAGTATATTATAATTATTATCCAGAGAAGATAAATATTGATTTTATCAGATAATCGTATTTAACAAAAAGAAAAATCAGAAACAGAAGTGTGAACTGAACTGGCATTAACCTTTTTATAAAGCTTGAAACCAGCACCTACGAGCTGCCTTGAAACAAAATTGATGAATGAGGGAGGAACAAAGTCCAGTTTGATATCCATGTTTGCTATAGTCCTGTTAAATTTAAAAGCAGAAAAAGAGAGTTCATAATAAAATAATAGGAGCGGCAAATTCTTTTTAACACTGAATTTGATGTCACTCTGACTATCCTACACTGCTTATCACAGCATTTGGCTTTTCTTTCTTTCCAATAACTAGGTACTTTTTCATCAAAGAGAAGTAAGGGATCACGATCACACATCTACTATAAACAGTATCTGATTTATAAAACAGTATTTGGTTAATGTTGTATCCTGTCTCGTTGCACATAAAAGCACTGAATCACGAGGAACGTTTTTTGCCAAAATTATCAGCTCTAATCATTTGCAGAACTACTGCTAACCGGCAAAAAAGAGGAGGAAACCTTCTTTGGGCTTCTAGGAGTTCAAACACGCTTAAGCAGGAATATAGATGTATCATTACTTGTGACCATCTTCTTGATGCATTTCGGATGCAGCTCCACAATTGGATCCTGATTCATCGACAACCTAAGTAACATCTGACATGCAAACTAATAGAGAAAAGGGACAACAGGCTATGTGGGACCTAATCTGATTGAGGGGCTTAATGACCAAAAGAAACCAAACACCACAGAGTTACCATAGACTATGGCTATGCTGACTTGCTCAGTGTTCCTTTAAGCTTCCTTTCTCTAATTTCCTTTTATACTAGATGATTTATATCTGTCCATGTAAGAGATCATCGGCATTTTCTAATGTATTCTGAGTGATGGTTCTCTAGAATGCTGCCGGTGAAAGAATAAACTGTTCTCCCAGTAATGATCTAAATTTTTGGCGCATTCGAACTGGCAATCTATGTTACAGGTAAGACTGGTGCATATCTAGAAGTCGATTTGTCTTCTTATAGATTTTACGATTCAGGGTGTGGAGAAGAGAATGGGTATGAGTGCTGGGATATGGGTAATGAATACATTAGTATGAAATATTTGACTATTACTTATTTGCATTGGTAGAAAAGTAAGTCAAGCTTCAGTTAAAAATTTCAATCAAATTCAGTGTGATTTAGTTAAGTAAGTTATGCCGAAACAAAGATATATTTTTTAGTTGTTCAAGTGGTAACCAGCTTATTTTGTTTCTTCTTGGACTTGATAATAACAAAGAAAATAATGAACACTGTGGCCCAAACTTATTTGTGTTGGCCCATATAATGCAATTCTCTGAAATATGTTTTAAAACCCACTTTCACAAACCCAGTCCATTAATACCAAACAACAAAAATCCTAACTTTGGTGCAGTCACTCTTCACTGTTTGAGTTAACTGCTTTACACATCCCAGTCAATCTATGGAATCTCTGTTTGCGTTCAAATGAAAGAAGAGGAAGAGAGATGACAACATTGAAGCACAAACAGAGAGACGAACTTGCCAGAAAGTTGCTGTATCCCTCGTCTTTCATCTGTCTTCTTCCTCACAGGACTTCATTTCATCTGTCTTCGTCTTAGCAGTTTCAGCTTTCGTTGGTCGAAGAACCCGTTGAATGTTGACCAAATTGGGTAAGAATCTTGTCACTGACAAAGGTGTCATGTCGACATTCTAATTCCTTCGGTTCTTTAGGAGCTCAAACAACATGCAAGGAGCACCACTCTTAAAGAATAATATATTGTTATGTTGGATTCTAGAAGAGTAGTTATACTATTGCATATTTCCAATATATCAAGAGCAGGACATACTCCAAGAATCTATGCAACATAGCGGGCAATGCAATTTATATGAACGTTCTCTTTTTTTTTCTATATGTAAATATAGGAACTCTTTGATAAGAAAATTTTAGTCACTAAACAGGAGAAATATTAGCTTATTACAAACAAAGCTCTCAACGTATTGAGTGGAAGAATCATGTTTCAATACCACTGGAACCTACTTAATAGCCATATCATCAACTTCACCTAGAGTTAGAACGTTTTAGAGTGGAAGTCAAAATAGCCGGGTTGTTCCGAACATGGGAAATTGTGCTACCCATTCTCACCCCCCCCCCCCCAACCATTAGAAGGACCCAGATTACCAGAATAAAATCTTCAAAGATTTTAAACTATATCACTTAAAGTTTCAACACTACAAAATCTTATATCCACAACCAATCTCCATAGTTCCAAAAGCATCTTCTTGAACCCACCCCACCCCACCCAAAAAAAAAAAAAATATAATACTAGTAAAGAAGGTTCCTATGGAAAAGGCTAACACGAGAAAGCAAAAGGAAGCGTTCAAAGCTGAGCATACTGCCCATGTCAAGACTTGCTATGCCTGTCTATCTATATGTGATAAGTATTTTAAATTTAATATATAAGAAGTTCAAAGTTACCTGAAGTAGCTACGATTATCAGTAACTTTCTGGATAGCAAAACCTCCCACCACATCAATTCGTACTACATCCAGTGGAAGTGGTATTCCATCTTTTGAAAAACCATGAGTGCTTCTATCAACACTATCTAAGTCAGAGATCTGGAAATAGAGCTTGCTATCAGTTGCTTTAATATTGATGAGAACAAATATGATAATGGAAATATAGATAGTTATCAAAGATATAATCATTGACAAATGTTGTGGACTTTCACAAACTTACCGAATTTACAAGTACTACAATCAGACCATCTTGAAAGTACTCAAATACAAAGAAATGTATAAGGGCCTCCCTTGCTGACAACGGCCACGAAAGCTTCATCCTTTCTTCCAAGTAGTTAAACATATATCAGCACATTATTAGAGACATAATAAGAAGAACAAATTAAATATCTATGGACTGCTATAGGATGACAAACCTTACTAGACATATTTGTTCACCGTCTCTGACCTTCTGCAAGCACTCGGAGGCTACAATCTTGAATGTAGGAATTGTGGTTTGCGGCCACCTGATGTGAAAATGGGGTGTATTAACACAACTTGTTGCTTGACATTTATTCATAACGAGTCATTGCATTGATAGTAGAAACGTACATTAAATAGAAGTGAAAAAGATGGATAAGTAGAAATATCCATTAAACAGAAGTGCCAATGCAACATCAGACTATCCCTCAATCCCAAAATCGCTGGGACTATCCCTTGAACTAGTATTCAATGAACATTACTGTATCGCAAATTGATATGTTAAAGATAATTTTAAACCTCTACTGACATTTTATTTAGTTAAGTTTCTTCGAGCAGATCCATTCTAGAGCTTTCATATTCACATTTACTGCATTAAGTCTACCAGCAGCTTTAATGTACATCATCACCTTGATAAAAGGTAAGAGCAATTACTTCCCAATATAGACAAAACCAAGAAATTTCGGTTGTGCTACAACAAACACATATATTTCTGTGTAGTACTTTTCTTAATATATATATGTGCTCTCATTATTTACCTTTTGTTTGTGCATTAACTACTTGGGTTGTACAGGTAATAAAGAGTATTTCTGAGTGGATGCTGGGATACAATTGTACTAGATGAACAATCTCTCCCCCGCTCCCCCTAATGAATTCACTATGAATGTCGTTCTCTGTGAATTGCTTCAAAAGCCACTGATCCAAAGTCTCATAACTGCCAACTTATACAATTTCTCTTACTCGAATGTTTCATTTCGAACTTATACAAAATTTGCTGTACAAATGCAATACCACCATTACAGCTAAAATTTTATAGTTCAAGATCTGCACCGACTCCAGTCCCTTTGTGGCATAAAATGCGAACATTTGTATTAAGAGTTTACCCAGACAATTATTCTTTGCGACAACAAAAGTGTCAGACTTTTATATCCTTTTTTCACTCGTTGCTTGTGAAGATTATTTAGAAGCAGTGCAGCAAGCAGCTGCCTAGAAACTTTTTTATTGTTTCATTGTAAACATGAGACAGGCTGGTTAAGAGTCTTTTGCATAGCGGATTCTCACCATTTTTTGTAGAGCTCTGCCCCCCATGAGATGCATAAACCTGAAACAGCCAGTTCTTATCTCAAAAGTCGTCCAATACTAAAGCAACACGAACTTTCTACAGGACCATGACTAATAACCACTCCAACAGTGAGTAAAATAGTTGAGATTTTAAATTTATCTTACAAACATCTGCTGGGCCATCTACATAGCCTTCAACAAGGAGGGTATGAAAAGGAGTGCCTTCTGGTCCCTCTCGATACATAACACGGTATTCTTCAGTATCTTGTTTTACCTGCAAAAGGAGAAACCAGCATTGCTCGCATAGTAAATAACAGATGAGGAGAACTATTTTTGCAATAAATGAATAGTACCACTAAAAGTTTCTGGCTGTCCCAAAAGAGCACCAGACTTTAATGCTACTAAAAACGAGCAACACTGATGCTTTCGGATCCACAATCACATTAGTGAGTCAAGATTTCAAGAATTAGAAAAAAGATAATCTATAAATGTGATAGATAGCCTACTTTCCAAGCACCATGTGTTGCCTCAGAAGATTTTGACTTCTCACCATCAGTTACAGATGCACTCCTTAACATGCTCAGGAAATTTGCCACTTCCTTGGTTCTTCTCTCTACTAGATCATCACTACATTCTGCAACAGAAAAAGGGGTGGGGGTGGATAAAGGCATCTCTGCTTAGTATGTTTTAGATGATATAAATGTTTTAGAATTAGCTAACTACCTATTAAAGTAAAATCCATATTCAAAGTGACAAAACAAACCTTGAAGATCACATTCTGACGCGCGTAGCATTTGATTCTTGACAAGGGGCTTAAGTAAATCATTGTTTACAAGATCATGAGACGCCAGCGTCTGATCCAATCTATCTCGGTACTGAGAGATGTTACCAGTGTCCCTCATATTGCATATGTTTGTATATCGAATGAAGTGATTTGGTATATCGAGTATGGAGGGACCTACAAATTTATGAAAGTCATGTTTCAGAAAAGCTTCTCAGCACAGATGTGTTTGTGTAAGTTAGTCGCGACAGGAATTTGAAGTTTTGACAAAATAAATTTATTATTCAAGGGATATATATCTATGCCATTTTTTTTATCGTATATAAAATGGATTAGATGCTTTTTCTGAAAATTTGTCAGCAGGGAATCCAATCAAACAAGGGAAAGAGCAAATCTCGAGTATCCGAACAAGGTCCATATGTTTGGTAAACATATAATAAATGTCGGACCATCCAAGCAACTTTGAGACTTTGTGTACAATGTATACATAGACTGAGCCAATATGTTACTTTTCAGAAATTCTTCCACATAACAAAACTACGAAGTGCCAAAAATTTAAGACGTATACACCATCTAATTGACTTAAAATAGAAACTCAATAGCTATTTCTTTCCAATCCAAATCAAAATCCATAAATGGATGATAGCAAATGAGACTGGTTTTAGTTAACACTACCCATAAATGGATGATAGCACCTACTAGTCCACAGATGCAGAAAACAAGAAAGAGTCACCAATTTTACAAAAACATCCAACCCACAAGCAAGCAAATACTGACAGTCAATTGAGAGTGATTATCCAATCAAAACAAAAAGAATTAACTCATTAAAATCAGCTCTTCTGAGATAATACACACACTACCATTACCATATTAACCTCATATGGGAAGCAAAAAGCTTTCAGTTTTCACAAATCAATAAATATTATTCATAACAAGGCGCACAGCAGATCAAACCAAGAACTAGCCACAAAGACACAAACTTTAATAGTCAAACTCAAGTAATCATCCAATCAACAAAAGTCAAGCTAACATTAAAGCAAAGAATCCAAATTTCATCGAAGTTTCAACTTTTCAACTCACTCAGCAGCTTAGAGCTGTTCTGAAGGAAACCAAGCTGGAATCTCGAAGTTTAGAGCACGACCCAATAAAGTGTAAAGACTGAATTTTAATGGCTTCTTTCAAAGTGACAGATCTCAAAGAAGGGACAAGATCAGGTGATTTGAGAACACCAAAGCGGATATCTAACATGGGCTCTCCTTGATATTAACGATTTTGCAGACAACAATAATCCACAGAGAGCTCAACTATTCCAAAGAATTTTTCAAAGCTAAAGTGTATTTTTAATTTAAGAAGATGTCTTTAAAATTGTATTCCTGTATGTCCTTTCCAGTTTATTTTAAAAAATATTCAGTTTCTATTATTAATTTAATGTTTTCTAATTTTTTATTTTATCTTTACTAAAATAAGTTATATCACATAAATATTTATAATTTATTTTAGATTATATATTTCTAGAAAAAATCTTTTTTTTTTCTAAGGTCTAAACTTATTTGAACATGCCACAGAAATAAAAATGTAGGAAAGCTAAGAGTGAGTCAAGAATGATGTGTCGAGAAAACACTACTAAGAAGTCTGTCTTTAGAAGTTGTATCTGGTTGACCCCTTTTATTTTTTTGATTTCTCGGTCGGTATTCGGTACCTACATTGCGGCTCGATTAATTCGAATTTCTGCCGAAAAGTCCCATAATAGAGGTAAAGTGCTCCCTAACAAAGGCGACTCCGTACCCCGGGGCTCGAACTTGAAACCCCTTTTAATCATTACTTTTTCAAGTATTTATGTTTTCTAATGCTACTACCTATTTTATTTCTTTTACAGTATGCTGTCCTAAAATTATGGGCACTTTTTACTTTCTTCAGAGATATGATGTGTTATCTATTTTAATAAATGTATTGTTTAGAACTTAAGCGCACCTTAATTATTTGATTGGATACATGCTTCCTTTTATAATTATCTATTGGACAATATTTTGTTGAAATTGAGAAAAATAATTATTCATGGTTGAAGTTAAAAGAGAACATTTAAAAGTATTATCATTTTACCACCAAGACTTAAAAAAGTAAAAAAAAAATAAAAAATAAAAATAACCTAGTGATATTTTATCTTTTTTAAAGTTTAAACTTTGATCTTTTGTGTCACTTTTTTGACATGATTTGTAATTAGTGTTAAGAACAATACTGGTAAAATTAATAAAAACCTTAAGCTTCATTCTAAATTATGTGAAAATGCAATTTGATAATATTTAGGCGAATGAAGAAGTTTAAATAATTTTACATAAAAGTATCAAGGAATTGTTCGAATCAATGATCTGTGTTGATGTTCACCTACTTTAAGCATTTATTTTTCCAACTATTCCGCTGACCGGGTAGACTTGTGGGGTACAATTATTAAAGGAAGACTTTGCCCACTATTATATTGGTCCAATTCATCATCTTCTTACACAAAAATGGAAGTTTAAGAAAATCGAAAAGGTCCTAAAATATCTTTTATTATTAAAAATTATTTAAATTGCCTTCCGTTATATTATTAGCTCAGAAAAATTCCTACCGTCTTGCTATTGAAACACATATACCTCTAACTTGATGGACCGGTCACATAGCACTCATCTAAGGCTGTTGGTTCATCCGGTCTTAAATTAGATGCGACCCACCCCATTACCCGCTACCCGACCAATAAACTTTGACCCTCTCCTCCTTTTTTGGCATAGCCAATTCAAAAAGGCGAGTGCAGTCTAGCTCACCCGGCTCAACAATAGAAATCCCTGCAGTTCAGCCACCCGCAGCTAATTCAATTCACTCTCCTTGAAGCTCTTGTGAAATGGTCTTTGTCCTTCGCTTTCCCTTTACTTCCATCTATCTTCATCGTATTAAGCCAACATAGACCCCATAGTGATTTCAGTGACTAATAGGTACAGTTTGTAGGCTTACTCTTACTGCTCTTCTTAGGTTCACCTCTTTCGGGTGCCCTGAGGTTCTTGTTTGAAGTCGTTTGTTTATCACAGAACAAGTCCCCCTCAGTCACTGGCATAGTTGACCCTCTCTTCCCGATTCTCGCTTTGAGCCAAATCACTCTCCTCGGGAGTTCTCTCCTTGACTACACCCTCCTCGGCTTTGTTACCCAAACACTCATCCTGGGCAATCTCTTCCGGTTCAGCAGTGTCCGGATCTGGCATCTTTGCCTATTCTTGTTCAGGATCCTCTAGAACCGCAAAACGGTTCGGGCTGACTAGGTCCAATTGGGTCATTCCAGTCGTACAACTAGTGTCCAGCCCCCCCCCCCCCTTGCTATTGTCACTACTGGTACCTGACCCCGTCGGCTCGATATTTTTGCAAACACCGACCCTTACTCAATAGGATTTGCACATCCCTCTATTCCAATAGAAAACGTTACGTCTAACTCTCCAACTAACCAAAACAGTTGTCTCCGCCGCCAGCATTTTTTTTATTGCAAAGGATTTCATCAAATAAACAGTCACAAACTCATAATAGAGATAAAGAAAATCGAGTTCCAACAGATGACAATCAAAGTCTAAACCAAACAAGGAGCTCATAATTAGTAAAGGGACAACAACGACGATGAGGCCCAACTTAAAAGCTAAGAGAGCTTCCCAATAACAACCTCTAACAGAAATCAGAATAGTAGTGGCCTCATAAAAAAAATGATAACAAAGATAATTTTATTTTCATATAAAAAGAAAAGAG